ACATGGCTCTTAGTCTTTGCCATCAGGACAAGCTGCGCATCTACGGTCAATCGCCTGAGTTTATGAGAGGTATGGCTGGAATAATCGAGGATATATGGGAACCAGGCATAATCAAAGAGAAGTTCTGTAAGATAGCTACTGACTTAGCTAATGTGAATGAACAAGTTCAGATAGTTAATGATCCTGAACTAAATTCGCCCAGTTCATCATATACAATTCATGACCGTGGAATTGTTGAGGATAATCAAGCATTAGACAAAGAAATAGCCCGCAATGGAACACTAGCTGATAAGATGTGCGAAAGCCTAGAAGAAACGTCTTCATTCACGGATAAAAATGCTGGCATTCGAAAGCTTACAAACATTCAGACAACGTCTACAAGTGCAAACAATGACTTAGCAGAAAGAAAAACTGACTCAGTGAATGAGTCGATAATAAACGAACAAACTTTATTGGGATTTGGCGAATTACAATTGCGCAATTCACCGTGGTGGGTTGCTGAGTGGGACAAAGACGGATTGCTTAGCTCTCGCCATTTCATATCTCGGTTGTTGGCTCGGAAATTTCTTCTTGGCTGGGAGCTGATAGCTTCAACATGTATTTATCGGGGTCCGTATGATAAGTGCGTTTTACTTTTAAGATCAAAAGAGGCAAGTTAAAAACATTAAATCGTATTGCATTAATTTATATGCTAAAAGTAAAAGGATCATTTTAGTCTTGCTAATAGTTTTCAATTAAGCCCTGTGTTCAGGTGAACCACGGGCTCCACTAGAATGATTATATTAAGTTTGAGAACTTATACATAAAATAAGCTTTCTTTGGGATTGTTCTTTGATAAATTTTTGTAGTTGCGCTAGTCAGCTCGTCTGAAAAGTCTTGTTAAATAGCTTTATAAATATGCCTCCTCAAAAACTGAGTGGAAATTGCTTTTGCGCTGTGACTGTATATTTGTGCAGATAGGTGATCATTAAAGAACACTGCGAATCTGATCAAGCGTGAGATTTGTCTTTGATGTTGGAGACATATTCCAAGCTAATGGCCATTTTTCAGACAAGATTAATATGCAAACAGACTTGAAAGTTCTTACTGCTTGTCTTAGTACTTGATAAAACCTTCTAAAAAATGTTTCCCACCCTAATGATGTTCTTTGCGCGTCATAAAAAAGCTTAGCTAACTTTATTGGAGTCGTTTAATTATGTGCGGCGACCTCTTTACATAAATCCACACTCACAACGCCGAGGCAATTAATAAGGCTCTTTCATCCGCCTTTTTAAATGAAATGAAAAAATAGCTGCATGAGAACTTATCTTTTAGCTCCACTGAGCCAAATAATCATATTTTAGAATATTGTTTTGGTGAGCATATATGTTAAGTGTTAATTGGGAGCATAATTTATTTTTATTATATTTACATTTCGACTTTACCGGAGATCAATACACTGATGAAAAAATAATCAGATTTTGGGAAAATGCTATACGCTGTGTAATTTTAAAATAAAATACTTTTATAAAATCAAATACACCTTTTAAGCAGTCTAATTGCCACTTTTCTTTTATGTAGGAATAAAACGTATTTAATCTTGTAGTATATTTACATACTTATAATAAAAGATATACAATTTTCATATGTACTATGGAATTTTAATAAACCAAAGAC